ACCAGAAGCAAGTACTGATTTCACTCTCATAACAAGATATACACCAGAAACAAGTACTGATTTCACAGTGATAACAAGTTATACACTAGAAAGAAGTACTGATTTCACACTGATAATATGCTATACACCAGAAGCAAGTACTGATTTCACTCTCATAACAAGATATACACCAGAAACAAGTACTGATTTCACTCTCATAACAAGATATACACCAAACACAAGTACTGATTTCACACTGATAATATGCTATACACCAGAAGCAAGTACTGATTTCACTCTCATAACAAGATATACACCAGAAACAAGTACTGATTTCACAGTGATAACAAGTTATTCACTAGAAAGAAGTACTGATTTCACACTGACAACATTTTATACACCAGAATCAAGAAATGATTTCACTCTGATAACAAGTTATACACCTGTAAGACCAGAAATAAGTACAAATGCTAGAACTTATGAGTTCTGTTTCTCTTGTAACTTTTTTTTCTGAATGCGTATTTGCTTTCTATATAATTATTACTGCTTTGTATCAGTCACGAGAATTTTCGAGAAGCTTCGCACATTTCTTACAGTCTTCAGGAATTTAAAGAAAAAAAATGAGGATGCAAGCAATGAGTTATATAGTTTAAAATAACAGAAATATCTAAATAAATCCTGTTTACATTTATTCTTAAAGTACATCAATAGTAATGGTAATATTTGAAACTAGTTACATAACGTGTATGTATACGAACTTTTTTATATTGTCATAAGCTGTATTAGTTACGGAATTAAGGAACGCTGATTAATGTCAATTACCAAATACGTGGTTACGTGAAACTTAAAACAAAATTATAATGAACAAAAATAACGTGAAGAAGTCAGTAATAGATGACAAGTGAATAAGCCTTTGTTTATACAAAAACCAAGACTGGTAAAAAATAACGAAGCCAAGATAAGGAGTGATATATCATGGTCATCTTTTATAACAATGGAAAAACAACCCAAAGTTGAGATGTTACTACATATGAAAGGTTCAAACACGAGCTTAGTGTATCCCTGTTTTACACTAAGTAATTCAATCAAATGAGTCAGACCTAGAAGCACTGTAGTGACTCCAGCCCAGTTAGGGGGATGAATGTAAAACTGCCGTGACTCTATATAAATCCGAACTTTGGGCTTTATCTGGGGGTTTGACACAGTTGTTCCAAATGCTAATACACTATTCTTATTTTTCTGAATAGATCTGTACATTATTAAATCACATTAAAGACGTTAACAACTTCATATCTGTTTTAGACTAATAGAAACAAGCAGTCTTTGTTTTTGTTTTCTTTTGTAAAGCAGTTAAATTATTGTTTTTTTACTCGTCTTCCCCTCCACACCCACTAGGTTAAAACTGATGACTTAAGATCCTAGGAGCAAATGGAAAATCTGAAATAAGAGGATGGCGTACGCTGCATCTGTAACACTTTGAGAGAAAACTTATTTTGAATTGATTTCAAAATAATAATAATAAGAAGGCAGCTATATCTGATTGAAAAACAATTTACATACACATAAAAACAGTGAAGTTATAAAAAAGGGGTCAGCTATATATATATATATATATATATATATATATA